AGTGATCCTGCTGCCTCAGCCTCCTGAGTGCTGGGATTACAGGCACGCGTCACCATGTCCAGCTCGATAGGTAGTTGATAGAGGCAAGATGAGAAAGTTACAAACATATTATTAGGATGATGCGAATCTTCAGATAAGTGACCCACCTGTCCCGCCCGAGTCCTCTCTGGTTCCCCTTTCCCTCTTTTGGCTTCAGCTACATGACAGGCAGTTCAACCAGAGGCACCTTGGAAAGAAAAGTGATACTCACGAGTGTGGCCAAGGAGCAACGGGACAGAACATGCACTAAAGGCGGAATGAATGGTCTCGCATTAAAGGGCTCAAGGGCAGCATTTGCTTCTGGGGACATGGGTCAAATGACCAAATGGCAGCTAGATAAAGCCAAAGAAAACCCAGAATAGGAATATTACTAAAAATAGAAAGGAAAACCAAAGAGGAAGCATCCGTGCTGTTGTTTTAGGTCGGCCATATGTGCAGCTGTGTTTGTGGCTAAGACGGGACAGAGTGGAAAGGACTGAGAAGCTGGCAGAGAGCCAGGCAGCTGGGCTGAGTGTGTACAGTATGCGAGGAGAGGGCCCAGAGAACCTCCCTCGCTGTTAGGAAAGTGGGTTAACATCTAAAGGGAGCCAGGACAGAGACTTCTTTCTGGGCACGAATATCCCAGGAGCGACTGCAAGCTCCTCCTGGCTGTTCTTTTGTTGTGAGAGCTTGGGAAAGGGAGATCATGGGATCACAGTGCTTGGAAGATATTCCCAGCTACACTGCAGTGGAAAGAACAGACAGCTGGGGAAGACGTACTCAAGGGTCACTCTGCCACTCAAGCTGGGACAGAGCTAGTTACTGTCTCTGAGCTTCAGCCTTCCTCTCCCTAAAAAACCTACTGAGATGAGAAATGCAGCCTTTGTTAAAAGGAAACAAAATTCTGGAGGACCTATTTTCATTTTGTTGAGAAAGGGTCTTGCTGTGCAGTTCAGGCTGGCCTTGAGCTCACTTTGTAGCTCAGGCTGGCCTTGAACTCAGTGATCCTCCTTTCTCAGCCTCCTGAGTGCTGGGATTACATGTGTGCACCACTATACCCAGCAATTCTAGAGGACCTAATGGAGTAAAAAAGTGAAAGGAAATGCAGAAGCTGGAAGGACTGAGCAAATGAGGGTGCTCATTAACACTATCAAGAGGTTTTTAAGGTGTCACCATCTGCCTTGATCCTTGGGGTAGGCTCAGCAGGCAGAGGGGAAGTCTGAGAGGTTCTGTTTACCAGGAGGAGACGATTCGCACAAATTATAAAACATCCTACAAGCCTGCCAATGTGGCTAATCCAAGAGGGAAAATTCCTTTGCATGCCGACTTA